TATAGACGACGCTCTCGACGAGTCAGTCGAAGTCGCCTCGAAACAGCTGATCGAAGTATTTTTTGCGCGACGTGAAGCTGCCGACTAGAAGTGCGAGACTCTCGTCGTCGTCGACGAGAGCAGCTTTTAAGGAAAAAGCGCTTAGCGACAGGTCGCTCGCTGTTTGGTCGCGGTTGCCGAATATTCGAAAAAATTGCCTTATAAGGTCCGCATGGCAACAGCGGCGATCTAACGCACGAGTTATCTCGCGCGAGCATTTGTTTATTTGGCCGAGTGGTCGGCATGGCAACCGCGACCAGCGAGCGAAATCCGAGTGGAAAAATGGTCTCACGCTGTGGCTAGCGCGAGCTTGTCGCGATGATGATGATCGACCGAATGTTCTGGAACATTCGATCGACCTTTTCGAGAAGGTTCTCCGTGCTCTCGAACATTTAGAAAAATAAAAGTTTATTATAAATTACACCAAGATTTATGTACTAAAAAAAAGTAAAACATGCAAGAATAATAAAATAATAAATAAAAATATTTATATATTAAAAGGAATTTATACAATAAAAATTTGTTTGTTGATGACTATAAGAAAAAAGTAGTAGCAATTATAAAATATTTAAATATATTATGTTGATAAATAACAATATAAAAATGCAATACACTGAAAAAAATATATAGATATAAAACTAAACTTGTCGGAATGCCGTCTGAAAGTAGATTGGTAGCTGAGTGTAAAGCAAAATGGTGTATTTATACCAGAAAAATTTTGTATATGAAGCAAATTTATATAAAACTAAAAGAAAGTTGAAATATATCAGATAAATTTTATTTTATATTGCTTCGTTTACCTGAAAATTTGAAGTCATATATTTTACAAGAATTAATATAATATAATTTTACGTGTTGGAATAACGTTGAAAAATTATGCATTAATTGTGGGATAAACTCCACCATTGAAAAACTGATATAGTGAAAACGAAAAATGTTTTCATTTTCCCATTGCAATTATTTAAAATTATTAATACGAAAATATGTAAGACTACAAATTTGTATGAATGAAGAGCTATCTATAAGAAAGAGGAGAAAATACAATATAAAATTATCAGTATAATTTTTTACTATAATAAAAATATAAAGGATAGATGTTATACAAACATAGTGCATGATAAGAAAGTAGATATTAATAAATAATTTAAAAGTAGAAAAATTTACTTGGTCACGAAATGCTAAAAATGCATATACAATATTCTTCGCGGAACAAACATAATAAGATTTTCTTAATTTATGCAAAATGCTGTGATATCATAAAAACAAAAAGATCTCACAAAGATAAAAAATATGCCAAGTACATAAAGACGAGTAAATTATATCTAAAAAGAATCTCAATTAAAAATCTCTATAAAAGATTGTATAAAAAAGCAAGCTAACAAGATATCTTTATCCAAAATTATAAAAAATGTAGCTCAATTAAAATATATGAAAAAAAAGACTTTTATACTTAATAACCAAAGGAAAATACAAGAACAGTTTATTCTTTTTGTACCGTCAAAATGATAAATTTCAAGTATATCTTGTCATTAGGTGTATCATATCAGCAAAATACGTCTTTTCATAGTTGCCACAAAATGAGTTTTCAATTTCTAGGATTAGATAACGCAATTTTTAAAAACCGTGCCTGGGAACATGATGCAAATCCGTCTATATTCCTGCTTTTTGTTCGTTGTCTTTTTCAAGTGATTCTTTTTTCTTACGGAATTCCAACAAAGTGGAATTTGTAAAATCCATCGGAGGTTGCGGCGAAAACGAATCGCAATAAAAAGGTTGAGGTACCTGATGTATATTGTCCGTCTAATTCCGAATATACGAATCCGTTTACATTTCTAATTTTTGTAGATAGCTTTTCATTCATACAAATTTATAGTCTTACATATTTTCGTATTAATAAATTTAAATAATTGCAATGGGAAAATAAAAATATTTTTCGCTTTCACTATATCAATTTTTCAGTGGCGGAGTTTATCCCACAATTAGTGCATAATTTTTCAACGTTATTCCAACACGCAAAATTATATTATATTAATTCTTGTAAAATATATGACTTCAAATTTTCAGGTAAACGAAGTAATATAAAATAAAATGTATCAGATATATTTCAACTTTCTTTTAGTTTTATATAAATTTGTTTCATATGTAAAATATAAATTTTTCTGGTATAAAAACACCATTTATCTTTTTAGAGTGATTTATTCGTTGTAATTTTCAAGCAATTCTTCTTTTTTACGGGATTCCAACAAAGGAAATTTCTAAAACCCATCGAAGGTCGCTGTGAAAACGATTCGGGATACGTGACGAAATGATATTTCACGTATGTCGCGGCGCGCACAGATATACCCATACTTATTCGTCATAAATAACAAATATTATCCGTATGCATTCACACACATGCACTTACGTCGCGACAGCTGGCAAATTTTCCCGTAAACTAAACGAGAAAGTAACTCTCCATTCTTCCTATGCAAATCTTAATTCTGTTTATCTTAACCTTGCTTATCATCCGCTCAAATTCCTCGCAGTCCTCAGAAAGGGTATGCGAGTTTGTATATCTTTCTCTTTCTACATTTGACTCTTTGTCAAACTCACAAGGGACACTATTGAAGTGTGACACGCCATTTTTCTTGAGAATACATACATAGTATATAATATAACATTTCATATATAATATTTTATATTGGCCCGTCTTTTAATTTGCACAATTATTTAGACAATTGTTTAAACAAAATTTGAAGTTGCGATGTACATCAAGACTGAACGTAGAAATACAAATTCAATAAATACAAATCCCATAAGCCCAAATTATGGTTTGGAGTGTATGGATTTTAGGTTTTATGAGTCTTAGGTTTACACGTTGTGGACTTATAGTTATCTGTTTTTCGCGGAGAATTCTCGTCATCGCTGGTAAAGGAGTTAATTATCTTATATTGTATCAAGTGGAGAATTTAATTGTAGATCGCTCATTAAATGACAGCAAAATAAAACATCAAAATTTTACAAGAAATACAGTTGGGTTTCATCTAAGATTTTCATAAACATATGCATTTTAATAATTGCTAATCTCACATATATTAGTTACACATATCACAGCTTTCAAAATGGCACAGTAATCAATTACGAAGCATTTTACAAGGATTGTCGCCGCGATTCTTTCTGTATCGTTAATCCTCGGCAAGCGAGCTCTCAGTGGCTAGTATATCTGAAATTTTTACACCGAAAAAAACATCAGTCTTAAATAAAGTTATTCTGGTTTTCCCTACCCCCCTATCTTCTGAATATTCCAAAACTATGTTACTTTTAGATCGATGTAGATGAAACAGTTTTACTTGCATTTTATGTTACATTCTGGCATCGCTTTCGAGTTTTACAGTTTAATTACCATGTGACAACATCCATCGTTACATATGATTTGTTCCAATCATAATTTTTCGATTAACGGTGAATTTGTTAATTACATTAATAATGAAATGCGATATTTGGGTTGACAGTTTAATTCTTCCTTCTATCTCTTCCTTTTTTCGTGAAAAGAATTGTTTAAATAAAAAAGTTCCGATATCTGGCGCTGTAATATAATGGCACACATCGTGAAAAGAATAAATTACGTTTCTCCTATGCACAATTTTATGAATTTTTGAAATTCATTAAATATGCTTTCAGGAAATTCCGGATCTTACTTACCGAAAATTTTAACTATAGCATATATAAGTATGTATGGACCGTTGTGTTAAATATACAAGGTGTATCTGAATGGCCTGTACAAACTTTGGGAATAAGTTACCTAAATAAGTAGAAAATGTCTCATGAACATGGGGTCGGAAATGCTTGTTTCTGGAGTTACGACGGTAACGGTTCGAAGTTTTTCTGCAATGTCTAAAGAAATTATCACATCAAATCGCATAGGAGTTTCAATTGTTTATTTATTTCCTCGGTTTTGCCACGGATATACACTGGACATAGCAAATATTCGAAATAGCCTCCAGTAGATTTCAAGGAAGCCTGTGCATGTCACCGCATTGCAAAAACTCCCTGATAATGTCGACGCTAATCGTCGTGAACCATATTCTTTAAAAAATTACGAATTAAGCACGTTATCTGCTTAGCGTTACGGTGAACGATGCGCATGTGCATTTCTGTCTTTCGACCTAATAACGTGACTTTAACTTTCACCGTATCTAAAACGTTATTGCAAAAACCCTATTAATTTTGACGACGCGACAATGGTTGGCACGAGAAACGCTGCTCGTGGTCGGCGCACATTCGGTCATGTGCAGGTACTAAGAAATAGGGAAATGGATTCGGACTGTACAAAGCCGGTAGTGAGGATAAAGGAACAGTGCAGTGGGGATAGAGGAAAGCTCGGCCAATCATGTGAAGAAACGTACGACAAAGCAAGACATCGCTCACGCAGATTGGACGGGACAAACGTGATAGAGCTGTCGGCGTTCAAGTGGTGGGGACTATAAAAATGGTAGGGCTACTTGACGGCTTGACAGTGCAACGTGTCTCGCAAGACGAGTTAGTTTCTCTCGGTCTTCAAGAGTCAGGAGTTGGGTAGCAGAACCATAGCGGTAACACAGTGAGATAAGTGGTGGTCCCCTCCCCCCAAGTAGTAAATTTTTGACGTCATACTTTTAACCTGCACGGTCTTGTGGGAAGGAGGCACGCACGAAACATTCTTTTCTTTGTCGTCGAGTATCAACGACTGATCGTGAGCGAAAGCGGAGGTCAACGCGGGACTTTATTTCATCCGGTGTGGATCACAAGTAGTAGGCAGGACTAGATAGACTCGACGAATTTTATTGTGAGTATATACCAGACATATATATAAAGAATACTTATGTATGCTTATTTCTTTGTTTAATTTCACCAAAGAACATACTTCTTTTTTTAGTGTGAAAATTATATGTAGGGATTTTTGTTCATTGGTCCTAATACGCCAGGCATTGAGCCACTTTTGAATTTTATCAAGA